GATTTATATAGCGCCAACAGTTTGCGCAGCGCTTTACAAATCCTAGGACATGTGTAGGAACCCCAACATATGCGAGTGATCTCTCTTTAACTCAAGTGTTAAAGGAGAACTATGGGGTTAAGTCTTCTCCCCCATAGTTCTCCTTAAAGTAACGTGAGGACACAAACTAGCGTCCTCCCGTCACCCTAGGCTCAGTATACTACGAGCAGCTGCTCGCGCTATACTGAGATGCTGCAGCGGATCCAGACAATTGTGCCGGGATCCGCCCAGCTGCGTGACTGACAGCTGGCTCCACCTATCTAAAGGCAGAGCCAGCTGTACCCGCCCCCTCCCCCATCCATTCCGCCAGTCAGCGCTGGCAGATCGGAGTGGGGAATCCAGCCCCTCCCCTGTCACGGCAGAGAGCCGTGACAGGATTGAGAGGTGAGCGAACGCCGGTATGTGTTCGCTCACCTCCCGATCTATTGAGCCGACCTGTGACAGTCTCATTGTCACAGGTCGGCTAGAACTATGAGGTGACTGAAAGCACTCACCTCATAATTCTCCTTTAAAGTTGAAGCAAACAACATTGTAACTAAATAACTATTTCACATTACTTGCTGTTTTCCCCATTGTCCAAGGCCATTTGTGCAATATTGATTTTTTTTGCCCTGGTGACATCACTGGCACTCCATTGCAGTTCTCAGCGTCCTGCCATGCCAAGATGCAAAGCACACCTATGTCAGGATGACATAATTAAAGCTCTCCAGCATAGGCATCTGGTATCCAAGAAGTAAACAGTCACAGTGGTTAGGAAATCACTTGAGTTGCTTTTTTATGAACTACTGTGTATGCGTATGTGCAGGATTCTGATGACGTCTGTGGAAGAACAAGACGCATGCACATGATGGTGCCGGCTTTAGGAAACCAGTGGGGAGAGCGACCTACACCACCAAACAATGTAAGGACAAAAATGCAGGCCCGCGGAGCATTAATCTTTTGCTAAACTAAGGAAATAGGTTTCTGGGTTTAATTTTTGGTTGGATGGCAGATTTTACAACTAGTGTAATATATCAGCAAAACATGGTTTTCAATAGATTTGCCCTGTAATAAGAGAGAGTAAACCACAGCCACTGTATAGCACTGCAAAGCAGGAGACAGGGCAATCGTGAGCAAATACAGCTGTCCTTTCATACACATAGCTACAAACCGTACAAAACCATTTTTCAAATTATTAGTAGCATTGCATACAGTAAGTGGGTCAATTTTACATATATATGAAAAAAAAATTAATTACATTCCCTTTAACACGCAGACCAAGAAAAACCACTATAAACATGTTAACACTGGAACACACCTATAAAATAGCATAGAACTCAATACAGTAAATTATAGGGATTCATCTTGTTTCCAGGTCATCTCCACAGCACCACAGGGAACACTTTGGAGTTGTGAAGATTGTCTCACCATCATACCTACATGCAAGGGGACACTGCAGGAATTAAATACCTTACCTTCCTATCAGTTCTGTTAGCCCTATTATATGGTTTTACTTCCTTGCTGGAGCAATATATTATCATCCACACAGACTTCCAAATAATTATTTTCATGGCCTACAGTTAGTTTTAAAACTAGACTGTTGACCAACCTCATGAAACTTTTTCTTCATCTATACAACACAGAATCTCAAAGCTGACCTATTGACTTTTATGTCCCTAAATAACCTGATGAACAAAATTAGCTCTAGCAGTGGTGCTACCTCCACACTGCAAGGGTTAAGTGCTCATTTTGGTCTAGGGTCTAAAATAAAAAGACATACCCACCTAGTCCTTGATTCTGTTAGACCAGTGCCCGCAGCCTCTTCTCCCCCTGGCTTCAGCAGTGCATTGGACATGAGAGACAAACCACAGCCAGAGTGGAAAGGGAGAGAAGTGAGCGGTCAGTGCCGCAGGATCGAGGATCAGGTGAGCATATCTTTTTTTTATTTGAGACCGTAGACCAAAATAAGCACTTTTTATAATTTGGCCAGACTTCTTCTTTAAGGGGTTTGCTGCAGTTCCATGCTCCCTCTCACCCCTTCTGATTGACAATCAAGTAGATATCTTCCACCAATTTTTTTGGGAACTTCCTACCCTGTCATGTTCAAAAGTCATTCTTCCTGGATGTATTTAATACATACACACACATTTCAGGCAACAACCTTTATCTTCCAACCAGTGATCACATTTAAAACAAACTGCTCTTAGTCCTAAGCTGGCTGATAAAGTGTAAACACTTAAATTCCAAATTTTCTGCATTTAAATTTATGGCCAACACAGTACAAGACTCCACTACAGACCTCTGGAAGGAAATCACAATCTACTGCAAGTATTTACTGTTGTTGTGTACACCGCTTGTTCCTTGGGCACTCAATTGGAGGTGCATCAAGTGTAGACATGGCAATTAGAGGTGCACCGAATTGGAAATTCCAAAACCGAAATAAAAAAAAAGTTGTCAGGCTGAAACTAAAATGTCTATATTTTTTCAAATATTTCATTTTTGATCAACTTTAATTTTTTTTATATTTAATTAATTTTGTATTAAATATTTTTATTTACTTTACTTTTAGGGGCTTTGGGGAAATATTGGGGGTATAAAAAGACCCCTATTTCCCTTTTAAAATAGAAAAAAAGAGATTGAGGACACAAAGTCCTCAATCTCCTTTTCTGCAGCCCCTGTTATAAATGAACAGGAATCCTCTATACTGAGTGTCCCTGTTCATTCATAACATGGAGGACATTGTTTACTATAGCCACAACTATGAATGAACCGGAGGGGATGTAGATCACTTCCCATTCATTCATAATTGAGGATATAGTCAACATGCTATGTCCTCAATTATCCACAAACACTCAGCGATCACTGATTGCTGAGTGTTTGCATTGGCTCTCCTTCCTGACACGCTGTCACAGGAGGCTGGGCGGGGCGGTGCAGGGAGGAGAGCTCAGCCTCCTGTGACAGCGCGGGCTGTCTCCGCCCACACACCGCTCTGCCGGACTGTGACAGGAAGCTGAGCAGTGTGGGAGGAGACGCCGCCTGATCACAGTGCTAGGCTGGCTGTTACTTTCTCTCCTCCCTGCTGGGACACAGAGCAGTGCCCAGCAGGGAGGAGGGAAAGCAGGGATGCGCCGATGTATCGGCACAAAAATTGCGCTTTCGGCATTTAGCCAAAAGTGCCATTTTCGGCTGCTATGTTACGGCGACCGATATCCCTAATGGCAATAGTCAAAGACCCAGCTTCTAACCCACAGGCTGTTTACACGACATCAGTGGCAGATCAGAAAAATATTCAAAGCAGCCTCAACACAACTTGCAGTATTATTTTTGCCCTTTGAGTATTGGAAGATTTGTAAATGTTCTTGAAACCGTTCCAAGAAATGTGAAGGCAGGCCTAAAAGAGACAGCTATTCTGAACTTTCAGTAATACTGACAACATATATTGCAATTAACAATGAAACATACTCTATCTTCTGCCGGATACAACTCCAACACCATATCTTATTTTCACACGGTTTCAGTTTTTTCCCCCCAATCTGAACACACAGAATAATAAAGACGTGACAAGTTCAAAGGATGCCAGTTCAACATATTTTATGCCACACTCCTAACAACTTGCATCCCACCTAATGGGCCAGCTCCACTCTTATGTCTCAGCCATGAGAAAATGATCCGGTGGAAAGGTACAATAAGCCAATAGGGTCCCCTCCCGATTGTAGGGGCCAGGGTGTCTTAGCCCACAGCGACTCCTAGACAAGCCAATGTCTAGACCTAGTGTATGCACACTGGCAGCCATAGGACTATTCCACTATAAAGGGCAAGTGACCCAAAACCCCTAAACCTGCATCCAGTAAGACCAACAAGAAGCTCAGCCACCTCCAACTGGCTCTAATCTTATGAAGATACATATTTAATAATTTGACTACTTTACAATATATACATCAAATCTGTTCTATAGAAATAACTGCTCTGTAAATTCAGTGACACACACTTTAACGTATGTTCTGCCACGCCAAGCATCACTCATGGTATAAGAACCAGAGTCTGTGTCCACAATTTAGTTATTGTCGATCCTCCACTGCTGAATCCACAGTGTGATCTGGTCCAGGTTCTTCTCGAGGTCTTCTGGTGTGTTACTGGGCAGCTGATGAATGATTTCTGATCGGTAGGACTCTGCCGCCTCTTCATAAATAGTCTGGAAGATCTCACACTGGATGTTGTCTTGAAGTTTTTTTTCCTTGTATCCCCTGTAGCAAAAATAATAAACCAGTTTAACAGAAATGTAATAGTTTAACAATCGCTTATAGTGCAATCTCTACCTACGTGTTAATGAACAGGCCTATACCAGTGCATATACATAAAAAAATTAAAAGGCTTTGGACAGATTTAAAAAGGGACATGCAAACATCATGTGGTACCTGCTCTGATATTCATAGAGACTCTGGCAGGGGGGAAAAATGCCACATGAAAAAAATGCTACATGGAAAGGTACAATAAGCCAATAGTGTCCCCTCCAGGACTCCTGTAGAGTCTCTCCCCTCCTCGGGAACTCTTTACCCCAACCAGTCTTGTCTCCCACCTTGACTGCCTTTAGGCGATCCCTTAAGACTCATCTCTTCAGGGAAGCCTATCACACCTCAACCTAACCGATCAACCATCACGTTCTCATACAATTTATCCCCACACAGCTACCTCCTCATGTATCACTTCCCCCCTCCCTTTTAGATTGTAAGCTCTCACAGGCAGGGCCCTCCTTACCATCTTGTCTTGTATTGTGAATGTAATGTCTTCCTTATATTGTAAAGCGCTGCGCTATGTAAATCCTGTATAATAATAATGTATAGAATGTCTGTCGCCTGCAGTTACAGAATACCGTTCTCACAGGGAAAACGGCACTTCCTGATAATTCTGAAACTTGCACGCCCCTTCCTGCTACCAATGAGGCAGCCCATCTTAGTGATGAGCCAATCAGAGTGTGTAAGGGTGGGAGATAGCGCCGAACCGTAACACTATCTGGATGTATACCATACCTGCAGATGTTTCTAAGAATAAACACAGATTCACCTCAAGTTAGTGATCATTAGCCCATACGCAATGTTATAATATTAGTAGTTTTACCACAGCTGGAGTGCCGAGGTTGCCTACCCCTGCTAGAAGAATATTACCATCATTTTGGAATCAATGACTTTTATAATCTTGTAATTCTAGTTTAATATTCTGCACAGTATTCCAGTATTATTTATGCTGGACTGGGGGTAGTGTGCGATATAAATACGACTTCTCCTGGTTCTGCTATTATAAAGAGACATGACAAAAGCTTTCCAGCTTCTAATATCTTCCAGCTCTCTATGGCTGCACTACGCCCTACAAATACCAGGGCAAGATGGCTGCAGGAGAATCAGAATAAAGGCTCACTACAGAATTTAATGGATAAGTGCACTTTAAGACAAAAGGTGCACTTGTCCTGTTTGCCCCTTTGCACTGACCCTAGTCTTACACTCTACCCCTCCACAGATGGATACTTACCCGGATCTGACATCTGCGGCCTTCGATGCTTGTTTACATCCAGTATTGCAAGTATGGGAGATAGCGCCATAGAAGTCTATGGAGCTGTAAAGCACAGGCCTCCCCCAGGATGTAAACAAACACCGGAGTACACTTAAAGAGAACTATGGGGTAACCTTTTTATCCCATAGTTCTCTTAAGGGTCACAGGAGTACATATTCTAAAGTCCTCACTGTATACCGAGATCGCCGCAGCTGGGATGGATCCAGACAATGCTGTCAAGATACACCCAGCTGCTTGAGTGACATCCGGCTCTGCCTGCCCCCTCCCCATCCATTCCTCCACTCAGCACTGGAGGATCGGAGAGGGGGGGGAATCCCTGCGGGGAGCTGTGAGTGACAGTCACCACTCACTTCAGGGAGACTATCGGAAAGTGAGCGACGGTATGTATTCGCTCACTTCCCTATGTATTGAGCCGACGTGTGACAGTATCATTGTAACAGGTTGGATCTAACTATGAGGTTGAGTGAAAATCACTCACCTCATAGTTCTCCTTTAAGTAGGGTATAAATGGTTAGATTTCGGAAAGTTTGTTCGATTTTCTAATCCTGGATGGGGTCAAACCGATTTCGACTGCAGTGACCAAAACATTTGAAGGAGCATGTTGGAAATATTTTCTCCATCAAACAAAATTTGAATGGTGAATGGGATTTTCATTTGGGAAACTCAATTCATTCCAAAATCGAATGTTAAATTAAATTAAAAAAAATCAAATGAAATTTAGAACGACAATCTCCAAGACCCTGATGGTATTATCGAACGTTCATTCAAAAATCTACCCATGCATACCCTACTTTATCCGTTGACCCTCAAGAGTATAGATATGATATCCGAACACTACATATGCAGTATCCGCCATTCAATAAAAGCTACTCTTTAATGAGCAGTTCCTACATTTTACCTGCTTTCCAGCCTCTCATACAACAAGGAATTGTCTGTTCTCAGCACAAACACGATGTGGAACCATCTCTCTGGGAAAAAGTCACAACCGTGATAGTCTACAATGACTCCACCATCACTCATTTTATCCTCCAGCTCATCGATCACCTGAAAAGAAACCACGGATGAAAAATATACACAAATGAAACATACAGAACAGCCTAGGCAGGTAGCAAAAAAACATAATAAAACATTCTCTCCTTCCCAAGAATATACCGCTCACAGGAGAAATACATGGGCCGTCATTTCTGGCTACATTCTAAAAACACTATTGGACCAGGAACAAGAAGGCAACTAGCATTTCCAGAACGATAGGTCAACAATGGCAACCTCCGTGGCTCTCTCATGACACGCTCCCTTTAAAGCTGGACTCGAGGCATATATAAAAAGTCACAAGTGCAGATCTGTATTCACTAATGCATCATTAAATTAATGATATAAATGTAATAAGTTTCGGTGCCTGAATTTAACTTGGTTTCAGCCTCTTGCAATTTGCAGTACAGCAGAGCTCACACTGGAGGCAAGAGAAGAAGCATAAGGAGCCAATTATATGTTCCCAAGTGCATGCTGATAAGAAACAAGAGCAGAGCGACAGGGAGAGGAGTTCATCAGTCTGTTGCTTCTCAATATACTGTCCAGTCACACACTGTGGGAGAGACAAGACCTGTAATTGTACCTTAACTTTGTTAGAACAAAAATGAGATCCCCTGCCATGACAAACAGGGCCGGGAAGAGCGGTGATGATGTCAAAAATGAAAAAAGACAGAGATACATAACCGTTTGTAGGTAAAACAACACCCATATACACTGAGTGGCCAGATTATTATGACCACCTGACGTTTGTAGGCAAATTAGCTATAATTTGGCGCTGAAGTTGCTAGAGGGCCAGACCATTATAAATAGGGAAGCAGGTTGTTTACCACGACAGTAGAAGTGATTTGTTTCTGAAGCTATGGGTAAACAACGCGATTTTTACAGCCTTTGAACGTGGGGTGATTGTTGGCGCTCGGAGCCATGGAGCGATTATCAGCAAAACAGCAGAATTTGTTAAATGTTCAAGAGCAGCTGTTGTTAGAGTGTTTAAAGACTTGACTGTCAGCCAAAAATCTGGGTCTGAACGTGCGAATTGTGGCCGTCAGCGACTAGTCAATGTTAGGGCAGAACGGGGTGAGGCAAGACTGGTACAAGACAACAGAAGGGCAACAGTGCAGTGTCAGATTCCTCGCATCACCTTTCAACATCCCGTGGAGTCACGAGGCGGCCCAACGAAGTCATCTCGTGGAGTCATCTCGTGGCCCAACCAAGTACTGATGGGGTGGTCATAATAATCTGGCCACTCAGTGTATTTCATCTGTGTAGTCAGCTGTTTGCCCGGAGCTCAGCTTTATAAAAAGGGACAGGGTTCTGTATTATGGTAACAAAGCAGCTTGTAATACATTTAATACAAAACAACAGTTTGTATTCAGTCTGCCAAGCCCATACAAATTACAATTATTTATATAGCGCCAACATATTCCGCAGCGCTGTACAATCGTTTAGACAAGACAAGTAATAAACACTGATAAGCATCATTGACATACAGAAACAGTAGGTGAGGAGGACAAATATACTACACTATTTCACAATCTATGGCAACCATTTATAAAATGCTAAACAACAGTCATAATCCATTATCAGCAGAGTTCTCCAACATTTAACAGTGCCTGTTGAGTTCCACGCTATGGATTTATTTTTTTTAAAAGGACATATGCGTCCAGATCACTAAAATACAAGCAACTGACTCATCTTTGTTTGTAATGACAAAGCAACCAATATGCACAGTCCAGGAAAGTTGGGGGCGAGGTTTTTTTAAGGGGTGATGGATTAGGGGAGAGGCGTAATGGGAGAAAAACAAACACCTATGGAGTTCCTCCATATATCCTGTCTGCACAGCGACTTACAGGGTTATTCACAAAAGGGTGAAGACTTAGGAGAAGCCAGGAGAAGTGAACAATCTAGACCAAAATTGCCGATTTGGAAAAAATTCTCCAATTCAGCTCACTTTCCACCTCAGCCATGTTGTCCTAGATTGTTCACTTCTCCGGCCTTCTTAAAACTCTTCACCCTTTTGTGAATAACCCTGTGAGTCACTGTGCTGTCCATGTATTATTAAGAGTTTATCGATTCTACGCAAATTTAACTATACACCACTTTGTCTTCATTTCCTTATAAAATTCCTTTCTGCTAGAATGGCATCCAAGAGTACCAATAATTGGTGAGCTGTATAGTCTATCCTGCTTTGAGTGTAGGATTGATTACATTTCATGGAAGTAGTCTACACAGTCAATCCATTCTTTCAGTGTCGGAACCGGTTCCAACCTCAATGCCGCAAAATTATAGCGCAGGCAGCGTTTATGAGGGGTCACAAGAAAGTTTTTGTGGTGTGTGTTACAGAACCAGTCTCGGCACGTAGAAGAGATCACATCTGTGGGTTTGAAGGTGACGGAACAACCAGTAAATTTGTGTTATCAAGGAGTGTAGCTTTCTCCAGTATTTTTGTATTTCTGGCCAAAGCCTTAAAATACGACCCCTTATCCATGGGGTATCTCCAACAGTTAATGGTAAACTTGTATTGGTCTTATGCAGTTACAGGCGTTCAATGCCAAAAGGACAGAATTTTACAGTTTGTTTCCTAAGTGGGAGCACTGTGGCAGTATTTAAGAGCTAACGTGCAGATGCCTCGCCATTGGTCTTCTGTCAATGTGGTGTGAAATTCAGTTTCCCATTTGCTTTTAAAAGTCTGATCTTGAAACCAGTGTCCCATAGAAGAGAATAAAGCCAAGACATTAAGTAGGTCTGTGGGCCCTTGCCCAAGCAGACCTTTTCAAATAATCTGTTTTAACTGGACATATGTGAGGGTTGCGTTAGGAAATGTTTAATTTGGAGATAAAATGTACAAAGGTGGTTTTCCCGATACCATTCAGTGCCTCAGTTCTGATTGTGGGAGAAAATTCAAAGAAAATACCTGCGGTGAGTAGACATTTTCAATCCAACGTCTGAAAAATTAATTGATATATTCTGGTGGGAATTTCCTATTCCTGGTTAAGGACATTTTTTTTCTCAAAGTTTAGGCAGGTCTTTTTGGGATCGAAAAATGTAATCTGGAATATTTGTCATGTACGTTAAAATAGTAGGTATAACAATGACTATCTGAATCATTGTGTACCATGTTTCTACAAGGGTTAGTTATCTATCATTCTGAGCCTGCGGTAGGAGAGGGTGGAATGTCTGTTGGTATTTATGAGCAGGTTGTGCGCCAAACTGAAGTCTCCTCCAAGGATCAGTATACGCTTCTGAAAGTTTTTTTATGTTGTTTAGCACTTGTCTCCAGAAGTATGCATGTCCTTTACTGATGAACTACAGTATACATTAGCTATCGTTATCTCTGGGAAAATCAGAGCTCCCTTTACAGAAATAAACCTCCCCTCTGGGTTGTCATGTCTTGTTGAGTGAATTGGGGAGATTTGTGTATTACTTTGTAATATTCTATATCAAGGTGAATATAAGCATATATTGCAAAATTCATAGCTACTCAGCAATATCATTCGGTAGTCACACACAAGTCCAACACAAGAATGCAGACCTCATAAATGACTGCTGTTTTTTTATTAGAAACCTCTCACAAAAATTGGGATTTCTGTTGACTATATCACTATAAAAACAAAATCAAAAAGGTAAGCTTCAGTAAAACTGCAGACCACTAAACGCAGACATAGGCTGCTGAATGTCCATATACATCTCAAATATCCTGTAAAATAAGGATGCACCAATACTAATATCGGTAACGATACCGAGTATTTGGGCGAATACTCGTACTCGCCCAAATGCTCCTATACCTCCCCCGATAACTGAACTTCCGGTCAGAGGAAGATTTCCTCTGACTGACAGTGCCGTAGGGGAAAATGGAGCCAGCTTCCCGGGCAATTAGGAAGCTGGGAGGCGGTTCATTACTTGCCTGCATGAACATATAAACAATTAGAAGAACACAGAACTTACTCGGTCTTCATCAAGAATAGGGCAGTCATATTCTTCATCATAGCCTTCATACAGATTGCCTAGAATGACAAAAAGGAACATCAAGTTAGGATAACAGTTTGCATGTCACTGCTCCCACATTCTTGAGTAGGAATCATTTACAAACACCCCACGTCCCAACATTAAGGCCCTCATGTATTGATGTGTTCTCACTAAGGCCTTCAAGAGATTTAAGTCTGATTCCGATTTGTGGCTTTAGGAGAGTTATTAATTTCTTATTAAGGACACTTGACACATAAGGCCCTAAAAAGTGGAGTGGACTCTATCTGGTCATTCTTAAAAGGAAGATCACATGCAGATGTGACTGAAAGAAATACTTTGATAACTTTTGAAGTACAATACATATACACTGAGTGGCCAGATTATTATGACCACCCCATCAGTACTTCGTTAGGCCACCTTTACACTGGTGGATATCGCTGAAGACTTTTGGATGTACTATACTTTACCCGGAGGAAGGTGATTAGTACAACAAGTCAGGAATTTCCATTTTTCTAAGGAATTACATTTTAGGTTAAATAAGTCAGAGATTATGCTGTCCTTATTAACCAGCTGCTGTCCGCCCGTTGAAAAAAAAAACGGGACGGACGGCACAGCTGCATTAGCGGGTTGCCATCTCCAGACGGCATTTTTTTTCTGCTCTTGCGCGCGGGCAGAAAAAGCCCGTGCAATGCATAAAGCCGTTACCGGCTGTTTAACATATACCTGATCGGCGGCTCTATAGCCAGCCGATCGTGTATATGTGCTGGTGTGTGCCCCCCCCTCTGCTGCCGCCACCCCCACCTTCAATCCCGGGATCCGCTAGCCCATCTGCGGCCCGGGACCGGCTCTGGAGGAAGATCCGCTTTTGGGGATCACCATCAAGAATACATTCCAGTGCGTTCGGCCTCTGGAACACACTGGTGGTGCATTGAACTCAATGGCCCAGCAGCCCGCGGTGCGATCCCTGGCACATTAGTGCCTCCGTTCTGGTCTAATGCGATCTGCCAAAAATGCTGCAAGCATGCCCCCTCCTGCCCCAAAACAAAGTGAGCCGACCAGGTTGCCTTCCAGTGCGTTCCAGAGGCTGAACGCACTGGAACGCACTCTTTATGGTGTGATAGGGCCCTCACCCTCTATACCCTCCATGAGCTCCACAGAGTCAGTGATAGATCCAGCAACAGTGATTTTCCATTATTTGGGAAGTGTGCAGGGCCGTCTGTATGAGTGGGAGTGTGAATGGTTGTGGACAAAGTTGTCAAAGGTTTTTAATGGGAAGATGGAATAGGAACTTTCACTTTTTTGATGTTTGATTTTTTTCTATTAAACTTTTTCATATTAAAATCACTAATGCCTCCTTCACACCAGATGCAGTGCGTTTCGGCCCGATTCTGTCCAGAACGCACTGCATCTGGTGTGACTGAGCCCTAAAGCCGTTGGTCCCGGTCCTCTTCAGTTGAAACCTGCTGAACTAAATGGGGTTCTTGTAATAGAACACAGAATAGTTGAAACTTTCAAGTTCAGCTATTCTGTGTTCTGGAATGGTAGATAGTCTCCTCAGCCGTCTGACACTGTCCTCCTGGCTGGTGTCAGTTTACACGGCCGGAGGAAGCAGCACGGGGAGAGCCAGAAAACAAAAGAAAAAAACATTCAATCACAGACGTGCTGATCTCCGTCTCTCTCTGCATTGTGAAGCTGCTGCACGCTGGGCAGTGACAAGCGGGCGAATTAAAGTTTTACCGGCAATAACGGGGCTGCCCTGGGGGCCTCAGACGTGAGGACCCCCCCCCCAGTTGTTGCGCCACAAGTAAATGTAATTATGTAACTGTTTGATTCACAAACCAAAATTAACAAATAGATGCTGTAAGACACAAGACTTATATTCTTACCTTCCTTTGCCAGATCTCCAACATTTACGTAGGTAAGGGCACATTTCTCTGCAAGCTCTTTGCCAAGAGTTGTTTTCCCAACACCAGGAGTCCCTGCAAATCAAACATGACCAGTAAAACAAATGTTACACAAAACTAGACAAGCTCACATACCACTAGAAGGATAGTGCAAAATGTAAATCAAAATGATTATGCATTTGGGACCAGTCAAAGTTTTGCTGTTGGTATGCTCTTGTGGTGGTACACCATGTATGAAACA